TACCCAAGCAAACAGGGTACCTCCCCCTACAACGAACACATATGCCTCCAACCGCTCAGCTCACTCCATCACGACCGCGCGCTCCCCTGCGTCGCCCGGGTACTCCAGCCCTCGCACCCGACGTCTCCAGGCGCGGCCCACAAAACTTCCGAGTGCCGGCCGGGGCCGTGGCCCCCTGGGGCGACGCGATGCGGGGACCAGGGATCTTGGGCCGCCGACTGGGACAGCCAGCGGCTCATGCAGTGTCCGGCGGCCTCGGCGACTGGGCTGGCCTCGGGTGGCGGGCCGTAGTGGATGTCTGCCGGCGTCGGTTTGGTGTTGGCGGGCATCGGATCCGCGGTGCGATTTGGCGCGTCAAATCTGGCTGTCCTGGTTCTAGAAGCTGCCATCCGCGTTAGGTAGTGGACGGGAGGGTGAAAACAAGCTGTGGGGGGTCTCACGGGCGGCTTACAGATGTCTCGCGTCCCTGTCGCCCGAGATATGGCAGTGCCAAGAGCCTCGTTAATTTTATTGTGTCTGTCCCTTCTTCCCTGATGGTAGCATGAGCAAAAAAAGGAAATGCGTATCATGAATCAAGCCTGGGGCATCGTCTCGAATTTATAGCACACTATTCCTGTTCTAAATGCAAGCATTAAAAATGGCCTTCGCTGCAAGCCGTCGATGTGACGGGAGGGCAATAAATGGCCCCCGACAAGGCCAAGGTCATATGACACGAAAATGGCCTTTGAGGGCCAAAGGCCTTTATCCGATCAATACCCTTGTGCGTAAACTAGGACTTCATCGCGATTTCTCCCTTGATATCGCGATTATACCAGTCACGACAAGCGCTCTCATTTGCATATTATTGAGAGGTGCGATTTGAAGGCGCGTGGAGTTTGCCTGCGTCTCGGTAAGGGTGGGGTCAGACAAGTCGAAACTAGTCCTGTGATATTCACGTGACACTCCACAATCTTTTAATTAACCCTCGACAAGCCTTCTCGCACGAAGCAGGCCCGGGTTGTATCGAGAACACAGATAGTTGCCCAACCGGATCCTCCGCAAGCTGGCCTGCCACCCTGCTTCGGCAAGCGCAAAACTCTGCGGGTTACAGCGTCCAGAAGCATGGTCGAGGTTGACACGCGCTGGCATGGGTTTGGTGGCGCACCCTGGTTCAACCTCAGCCAAGCACCCACCTACTACCTACCTGTGCAGCTCATACGGGTGCTGCCGCAGGTCGAATGCCGCGATAGTCGGGAGATGTTGGGGCAATACTGCGTTCGCGTCGTGGCCCAGGATCACGGTCAAAGCGGACTTTTTATTTTTCGCCAGAACCGCGTTAGACTCGGAATCACCCTTGATCGCAGTGCTGTCCACCTAGGCACTCTCTGACCCTGTGACGGCGATTCCGGATCGGACTGACCTCGCTGCTGTCGTCTAGCCGGCGAGCCAGCAGGGTGGATGTGCTGTCGAATCTTACGCGTGATCAAAACGCGCACTAGGCGGTCCGCCGCCCTTAGCCCCCCGGCCGCGGCGATCCTGTAATTGGGGGTTCGTTGCGCTAGAACGATGGGCGCTTGGCGCTAGCCGGGCGTCTAGAGCCACGCGGAATGACGTTTGGGCCAGAAGGAATGAACCACGGCAAGGTGAGCAGGGCACACGGTCTGCCCCCGGCACAGCGCAGGGGCCGCCTAGTCCGGTGCGTGCCGAGCGCCGGCGTCGCAACGGGTATCGAACGGCTCGCGCGTTGTCGTTGTGCGTTGGCGGCCATGCGCTTGGTGCTGATACGTGGGGTTTGGTGCTACGGCGAAACGCTGAGATGTGCTAGCGGATAAAGCTATAAGTTGGAGGGAGCACAAAGCGCGGGCACGGGCGGGGTCGTCGACGATCAGCAAGCCGATCAAGTCCCTATTTAGTCCGACTCTCGGCCGTTTGTGTCGCTTCGGGAAGGTCATCTTGTCTTTTTGAGTTAACATGCTTATGCTTTGACATCTCGCCGGTTTAACAGCACCAAGCGAAATGTTCTCTCCAGACCAGCTTCCCCGCAGCCCAACGGCCGGGAAGGCGGAGCGGCCCTTCCAGCTTTCCATCGACGTCGCGCTCGACATACTAGAGTACGTGGACTCGCCGGGGACGCTGTTCTCGGCCGTGCTGACGAGCCGCGTGTTCTGGTTCGCCTTCGAGTCGCGGCGGCAGCACGTGCTGAGGTGCGTACTGGAGCGGTACATCACGCCGAGCCTGCTGCCGCTGGCCGTCGCGGCGCTCGAGGCCGACCGCGCGCGCGGCTGGGACGCCGTCGAGCCTGTCCTGCGGCGCAGCCTCGGCGCCGACCCGGACGAGGCGGCGGCGGCGGCGGCCCACACGATTGGAGACGACGACCCGCCGCCGCCACGCAGCAGCGACCCACTCGCCTGCCTCTCGCCCTTGACTCGCGAGACTGCGGCGGCCCTGACAGGGGTCCACAGGGCCGTCGAGAAATTCACGCTGGAGCTGGCGCGGCCCGCGCTGGCGCTGTTCCGGTCCATTTGCACCGAGGGCGACGGCGGGGAGAAGACGGGGCGGCGGCGGCGGCGGCGGCGGCTCGAGCCCACGCGGCGCGAGGTGCAGCGCATCCAGCGGGCCTTGTACCGCTACCAGATCTACTGCAGCACGGCGGGGCGGGCCAGCGTCGGCGACGCGCGACGCAGCATGGCGCTAGACGACGTGGCGGCGGCGGCGGAGGCGGCGGTTGACGCGCCCTGGACCAAGGAGCAGCGGCATCGGGCGCAGACGCTGCTGCTGGGGCGGTGGCCGACGGTGGCCAACGAGCAGCTGGCGTGCGCCTGCGACTTTTTGGAAGCGAAGATGCAGCATTGTGGGTCAGGTCGTATCATTCAAATCCGAGTAGAAATTCGAGCAGAAATGCTGACGATGCATGCACTTACAGACTTTGAGGCCGTCGCAAAACACGATGTCGAGTGGGGCGCCCGCAAAATCGACTGGGTCGACCCGCACATGGCGATTCCACACCGTCGCTTTCTGGTGAGCCTCACTTCCTGTCACTTTCCGTCACCGTTGAATACCTAATATACTAATGCCCAACGCCAACGGGCAGCTCAACGGCGGGCTGGTTCCCCTCTACCGCCTGTCCAGGACAGCCGACGAGGGCGAGTGGAAGCGCATAATCGAGGAGATCGACCTGCCAATCGACTGCGATCAGGTCCAGTTCTGCTTCCTGGAAACCCTCGAGGGTAAGCTGGCCATGCTCAGGCAGTCCTACCTCAGCACTTGCCTCATAATGTCGCTGCACGCACCCCCGGGCATGGCGCCGCCGCCGGTCGGGGCGCCCTGGCCGCCGGGGTGGGAGGACGTGGACGGGGACGTGGATGCCCCGGCCGTGACTCCCGGCGACGATGCGGCCACCCCGCCGCGACCGCCCTACATGTCAGAGGCCTGCCACGCCGACGACATGCTGGGCCAGCGCGGCGCC